CTGGTCACAGAGCAAATGCTCCAGCGCCAGTCAATGTCGTCCCACCCCACCCTTCTAGTTAGACTTACCACCCTGAACCGCCGATCCCTCTTCTGAGTGAGCCCCCCCACTTCCCTCCTGCCTCTAATTCGACCTTCCCCATTTTGTTTACAAAAACCACATCGAGGATAACTAAGACGAATTACTTGAGAGAAAAAAAAGCTGTTAAAAAAAATTCTACGCACAAAATCAGAATATGAATTTCAAATTTAAGACAGAAATTCTCCAAATAGAGAATTAGTCAGGAGAGGAAGAAATTATCCTCTCTTCTGATATAGGTTTTGACATTCACCCGGGACTCCACAACACGCTCACTGTGTGACCATCGAAGTTACTCCTTCCCTAAAAAACAAACCCCCTGTTCTTACACTACCCCCACCGGGAGGCACTCCCTCTCCTCTCGGCCCCAGTTCGGAACAGCCTGGAACAGCCTGTAAACGGACACTTCAACCCCCTAAAAGGCATACAATTCCCCCTAGAGCATATCTCACAGGCTGAAGATCCCCCTTTCCCTCTGCCCCACCCCCTCCAGGCAAGGCAGCCCTCTCATCCTCACACCCTGTTGTAAGCAGTTTCACCCCCTTGTCTTCTCGCCCCAACCGCCAGAGCTGATCCGACCCTAAATCAGCCTGGCCCAGAAAAAGACAATCCCTCAAAACCGCCTCTCCCCTCCAAGGATAACACATCCCACCTTGTGAAACCCTCACGGGGAGGGGCTCCAACCCTAAAGGAGAACCCCACAAATCGCAAAGCAAGACGCAAATATACGACACAAAGACCCAGGCAAACATTGGAACACAATTAACTAAAAGGCCAATCAGAATCAGCTTGTTACAGTGACAGTAATCAAGACTAAGAAGATGAAATTACAGACACAGATTTTTTTCAAATGGGAAATTACGTCGAAAGCATACTTTTAGAAATTAAAAATTGGAACAAAATAGGGAATCAATTCTGATGTCCAAAAGGACTTTCGACTCTAATTTCCAGAACCCCAAGGTTCAAGGAATCGTTCAGACAGTAGATCAGGAAACACCAAGTAGGAGAAACCGAAACGATTCTAAAACCAGACGCAAAACCAACAAAAAAATTACGAGCTACCGATCAAGATCAACTAAAAAGTCGGAAATGCCATCCAAGAATTTTTGTCAGAAATTCCCATATCAAGAAAAGGAAAAAAGGATTGATCCCAAATTAATCTTGATTTGCAGACCTCAGAATCAGGATTATTAGTTATATGTTCGTAATCTATCGAAAACTCTCGGTTAGAAAACCTAATAGGTATCGAAACAAGCCAAAATATTTGAGAATCACATCATTATGAATCTCATCAAGGTCATCATAAAATCATGACTACGAAACTGAAGAGGAAAACACAACTTACCCTTGACATCCCTAAACGCACCCCCACTCAGCTTCTCTTCTCCCAGCTATGGCTGGCACTTGTCGCAGCCGCCGCAGCTGCTCTTCCTCCTCGGGTGCTTTTCTACTTCTCTCTCGTGCAACAGCAGTCACGCCCAGCAGCATCTGCCCGAATGTCCCGTGGCTGGTGGCCTCCTCTCTTTTTCTTTGACTGGAGGCTGTGTGCAGACTCAGAGGCAGTGCCTACGGCCCACTGGGGCTGTGCCCACGTCCCAGCCTCTGCAGGCTGGGCCTAATGGTTAGTTACAAGGGCTCCTATGCTGGCCTTCCCTTAGGGCAAGATTGTATTTTCCAGGGCAGCCTGGACATGACATGTCTCAACAGAGGGCCAGATTGTATTTTCCAGGGCGGCCTGGACATGACATGTCTCAACAGCCGCGGAGGCCGAGGGGCCTTGCACTATGGTTGACGTTCTTTCTCTGTCGCATCAAGGTTCAATCATTCATCACTATAATGGTTGTGTTTGTGCATTTTCAGCAAATGATTCAGAACTAGTTAGGGGGGATTAGGTAAGGTTTGAGGAGAGGATCTTTGAATAATTTGCGTTCTTTTCTTTTGTTTCTCAGGTTTGAGGAGGGGATCTTTCAATCATTTGCGTTCTTTCGTTTCTCAAAACATTTCCTGTGCACGAACTAAACCCAAACCGACTTAGTTGCATCATGGCTAAGCATGCATCCCCTAGAGTCCATAATAACCAGGTTGGGAGCTCGAAATGTGAGTACTGTTGGACTGGATCTTGTGAAAGAAAGAAAGAAATGCAAAGAGAATGTGATAAATTATTAAATTCTCCATTTGAGATATGAGCATCCTTTCTGTCTGGTGTGCAGGAATGTTCCACACAGTGTTTCAAGAAGCATTTGCTGTGGGCTGGGGGACCTATCCAAACTTCTTGGGAGTTGGTGGTTTTGGTTTTCCTCATTAACATGCTGGATGTTGTACGAGGTAAGCTTTTTTTTAATTTTGTGTGTGCCCTTGTGTTGTGTGATTCACTTTTTGTGCAAAGACATTTGGATACCATGCTTCTCGTGCGTGAACAATTTCATTGTCATCCTTCCAGTAGAAGTCTGAACTTGTGTGATTGAGTACACACCTACTATCGCATGCCAGCACGGTGCAGACCAGAACCAAGTATTGACTTCTCACAGATGTAGTAAGGATAGCACAGCGGAAGACTGAAATGCCAATAATCAGACCCAATCAATGTCAGGACACAGACTGAACACCATAATCATCATCATCACATGATGTGAGGGGGGACCTGGCGCTGTCACACAGATAGGAGGGAGGAGAGACAAAGGGGGAGAAAAGGGCAGATGTCGTCAACTCAAAATGCCGTCGATACCGATCCCAAAATAGTCTCCCACAATGCCGCCGCTCATATGTCAAATCTGAATCTCAATGTCCCAAATCTCTCTCTCTCTCTCTCTCTAGTCTGACGAAGGAGGAGGGGCCAGAGCGCTGGAGGGGAAGAAGAAGAGCAATGGACTGGAGGAGGAAGAAGAAGAAGATCTCTCTGTTACGATCCCGGTCATTTCCAAAGTGCAAATTCACAACCAAAGACAATGCCACCAAATTGCGAAGGAAATGAAAGCACTTGCAAAGAGATAAAGACCGGAGGAGAGAGAAAGAAGAAGAAGAAGAAGAAGAAGA